CATTTCACAGAACGCTGGACTCAGGGCCTCGTGTTCACTGGCAAAATAAGCAGACACTTTGATCCCTGCTGTCCAGCGTGAATGAATACATTTCTACAAATACTTCTGTAGAGTAAGCCACCTTTCTACATCACATGATTGTCACTCTCTCATATCACTGTGACGCTGTGCATTGCATTAAAAAAAACTGCTCAGGGGTATTTTCCAGATAAATGGAAGAAGTGACCATATAAGTGTGATTTTTTTCAGCAATTTATGTCCATTGATCTTGCTGAGTTCTTCCCAGAGAACATCTTCTCTTGCAGATCCAGGTCCTCTCATTGTTTTAGCATTTGCTTAGCCCCTTTTTTGCCCTTCCCAATGCCCAGTTATCACATGTAAGATAAGCGTTAAATTGCACATTCCCCGTATTTCACAGTGAATAAAAGTGAAGGATCTAGTCTCCACCTCTCCACCTCTTCTACGACACTGTTACTATGACATGAGACCCAGTGGAGCATGTAGGCTGTCACAGATAGTATAGTCTGAAGGTCAGGAAAGGCAGGATGGTAGAAAGCTGAAATAGCCCCGATCAAAAAGACAATGAGAACAAGGTGGTTTTGAAATATCTGCTAAATCCAGATCCCTAGTCTTGAATCATGATTGGAATTGCTTCAGTTCTATTGATAAATCAGATTTGAAATCTCCCCTACAATGTTTAAACAAAAGGGTGATAGGATAATAACTGCAATTTAGAAAGATAATTTTGAGAGCAGACCAGAGGGCAATTTGTGACCTTCAGATATGTGTGTTGATTCATTTGTATGTGTTTTTTAAAGCAATATTTATTGTAGACCTAAATTTTAGGGAATATTGGGGCCTGATGAGATAATATAATTGAAAATACACAAACAGTTCTAAAACTATACATAAACTACTTATAGATATTGCTGTTGTATTTGATAAATAATATTAGTAATATTATTGCATTCTAATAAGTAATGTAATTCAATACATTAGTGCTCTTATTGCATTTAAATACAGCAAGGATACTACATCATAAAGCAGTACCCCTGTGGACATGTCAACATTCAGAACTTCAGCTTTCACATCAGTAACTTGAGGATAGCACTCCAAGCTTCACCATTGGGGGCATCAATGAGATGAGGTGCATTGAGACATCATCATGGAGCTTGGCATGTGGCTTCTTTTTTTTCCTTCTTTTTTTTTTTTTTTTTTTTTTTGAGACAGCGTCTCACTCTGTCACCCAGGCTGGAGTACAATGGCGTTATCTCAGCTCAATGCAATCTCTGCCTCCCAGGTTCAAGTAATTCTCTGCCTCAGCCTCCCGAGGAGCTGGGATTACAGGTGCCTGCCACCACGCCCGGTTAATTTTTTGTATTTTTAGTAGAGACAGGGTTTCACCATCTTGGCCATGAACTCCTGACCTCGTGATCCACCCTTCTCGGCCTCTCAAAGTGCTGGGATTACAGGCGCGAGCCACCGCGCCTGGCTGGCATGTGGCTTCAGCCACACTTGCAAGATTGAAAATATTTACATTGTCTGATAGTGGAGCAGGTAATGTGCCAGAGGAAACTTGTGATAAGTAGCAGGAGGGTAGAAATGCTCAGGGCATTATATGATCATGTCCTGGACCTGAGAGGTGTCCAGTCTGACTGGTGTCACTGTTATTAGTGACACAATACTGGCATGTACACCCACCTACTTGAACGGTGTACTTCATGTCAACCGTAAGAAGCTGGTGGGATTGGGATCCCCATTTCACAGACAGTGAATGTATTCAGAGGTAAGTAGCTTTCCACTGTTAATGAAGTGTCCTAAGATGACAGTAAACAACAAATGACAAGGCCATCTTGGGAAGAACTTTGAAGGTCATCTCCAAAGAGAACTGTAACATGCAGTCAGTTGGCCTAATACCATATTTTTACACTGTAGCTAGGTAAGCTGGGGAAGGGTCATTGGAAGCATATACTTTGGTGTCTGACACTCTTTAATTGAAATCCTGGCTTCTGGTGCTTACTAGCTGTGTGATCCCAAGCCAATAAATTGCTTATATGAGCCTCAAGTTCCTCATCTATAAAATAATGGGAACACTTACACCTGCCTTGACTTTGAAAAGTGGAAAGCAGTCATGGACAGAGCAAATGCTCAGTGTGTGTCACCTTGTCACCTTCTTCTTTTAGGCTTTCCTGATTATTCTCACTCCCAAAGAAGATGAAGGCTCAGAATTGAATAAATCAAAGAGATTCAGAAACAACATTAGATTCTTATTTAGACAGCAATTGATTTTTTTCTTGGGTAAGAAAAATTATACATCTGCTTCTAAAATATGAAGAGTGGTGATTATGATTCATGCACACATGATTCATAGAGAAAGCTGGAGCTAAAACACAGCTAAACTAATAATATTTTGTCCTTGTGACTAAAGCTTGTCTAAGCTTAGAATGTGTGCCCAGAGTTAGAGCAAGAATCCCAAGGGCAATGTCAATGCTGCTTTTATTTAGTAATAGTGGCCTAAGCAGAAACGCTTGTTTTTCCCAGAGTACGTCTCCCCAAGGTGGATGCATTTGTGTCTTCTGCAGCGGCTCCCTTCTCTTCATCCACTTAGTTTCTATGTGTGGTTGATTTCTAATAATGATGCTCAGAGCCAGACTTCACCCTCTCTGTCCTGCGCTATTGCCACAGCTTTTAACTAATGTCCCAACCTCCGATTTCTCTCCCTCGCCAGCAAACCCATTCTCTCTCTCTTCTTACTGGGTTGAGCTTCTTAAATCATTGGTCAGAGATCAACTATGTGGCTGAGAAAACAAGTCATAAACTTGAATATCAAAGAGATTTGGGTAGAATCCTAGATCTGTCATCTCACCGTGTGACCCTCAGCCACCTGACCTTCCTGAGCTTGAATTTCATCACCTATGAAATAGAGATTACTAAATAGAGATTTATTTAATAATCTTTTAAAATTATTTTATTTATTTATTTATTGAGACAGAGTCTTGCTCTGTCACCCAGGCTGGAGGGCAGTGGCATGATCTCTGCTCACTGCAACCTCTGCCTTCTGGGTTCAAGTGATCCTTCTGCCTCAGCCTCCTGAGTAGCTGGGACTACAGGCATGTACCATCACATCTGGCTAATTTTCTTTTTTTAGTAGAGACGGGGTTTCACCATGTTGGTCAGGCTGGTCTTGAACTCCTGACCTCAAGTGATCTGCCCTTCTCAGCCTCCCAAAGTGCTGGGATTACAGGCATGAGCCACTGTACCCAGCCTTAATAATCTTTTTAAATGAAGATTAAAGGTATATATAAAATACCTTAACAGTTCCTGAAATATAACAAGTAATCAGTAAATCTTGTTTTCTTTTCAGTGACTCTTCATTGCTGGAAAAAGTCAGATCTAATTTTATTATGACTTTCTAGGCCCTCCACCTGTGTCCTCCACCCTTTGCTATCTGTATACAGTGGACTGCTCTCCTGCCTCTCGCCTCATTTTTCTGTCTGACTTTATATTTTTCCCATCAGTCCTCTGGGAACAGATTTTGGATGGACAGTGTTCCATTGTCATTCCTTCCTGTGTGCCTTTTGGTTGGGTAGCTGGACTGTTTTACAAATATTCAGGTTTTCTGGGGCCCTGTCACCCGCAACACATTGAATCAAGCTGAGCCACAGATCTATACTACTGTGTCTAATTTGATGTATATTCATCAAGAATGTACTGTATGTTCACTCTGTGTTAGGTGTTGTCATGGTACATGTGGATCAGAACCAGCCATGGTCATTGACCTTAAGGAATTCCTATGCTAATAGAAGATGAAAGAGCAAAATATCTACCAGTTAGATTTTGCTCTCTTATCTTCTGTTAGTGATGATTACATGAGAGGTACTTGATGCTACTGATGCTATCCCTATTTTAGGGATGTGGATAACCTGCTTAGGGCAAAATAACCTGTATAACTCTCTCCACTTATATCAAACAGAAGGAGAAAAGTACCAAGATGGGTAAGAAGACACGTCTGGTTTGGAGGACATGGTCAAAGACTGCCCAGAAGACCATGATATTAGAGACTGTTGTTTGGGAACAGGTGCAGTTTCAGCAGACAGCTTGGAGTAGTGGAGACTGTGCAAGCTTTGGATCCAAAGTGTAGGAATTTGAATACCAGTCTTGTGCCTTACCAGCAAGTCTCCCCCTATCTGGGAAGCTCTTTCATAGAACCTAAGGCCTGTTCCTTCTTATCATTCAGGGCTACATTCAGGCATCATATCCTGTGAGATTCCTTCTCTGAACACGTTTTATAAAGGAACATTTTTCCTTTATGCTGACTATGATCACTTTCCTATCAGACACTGTTGGGGTCCAGTAGCCTCTCCTCTTTTGTGCCAACTTTGTTTATACATGTATCCCTCCTCAACACAATTTAGGGGAGAAGGAGCTTACACCCATCCCCAGGGATCGTTCTGATGGGTATTAGCCAATTAGGCTGGTCTCCTTCCCTGCCCTGTGGCTTGTTTACAGGAGGACATATGACACACTTCTGGCCAATGAAGTCTGATGGGGCATTGTTCGGTGTCTTTGGGTGCCTCTGGGAATGATTTTATTTTCCTCCCAAGAGAGGCATTCTTAAGAGTGGCCTTGTCTCTGGAGGATGCTCTCTTCTCGTCTTGATTCTCTGTCTGGAATATCTGTAATCCATCTTACAAACCTAAAGGGACCCAGTCTTGCATGAAGCTGTGGCCTGAAGGCCACAGAATAGAAAGACGTGAGGATCCTGAGTCCCTCATGACAGCAGTGATTCAGGATATGACATTGTCTTCCTTAAAATCTTCAGTTATGGGGGATAATACATTTCTCTATGGTTTAAAACAGAGATAGGAAAATGTTCTCTGTTAAAGGCTAGATAGGAAATATTTTAAGCTTTGCAGGCCATGCGATCTGTTGGAAGTACTTGAAGATGCAATTGTCGTATGAAAGCAACCATAAAGTATATGTAAATAAATGGGTATAATTGTGTTCCAATGAAACTTTATTTACAAAAGCAGGTGTCAGGCTAGGTCTATGGGCCAGTTTGTGGACCAGTGGTTTAAGTCATTTGAATCAGCATTATTTCGTTCTTTCAGGTGAAACTATGTCCACTAATGTATTCTCTCTTTCTTTACCCTGATTCATCTAATTAAGAGGCATATTATGATGAATTGTTTACTTGTTTGGTAGTTCAGTCTCTCTGTCACTGGAGTACAAGTCCTAAGATGGCAGGGGCATGTTTTCTCTTACCTGGCACATAAGAGAAGTTTCATTAGTGTGTAAGTGTGAGTGAGTTAGTGAATGTGGACAAGCTAATTAATCTCTTTCAGTTTCAGTTTTAGTTTGATTTTCCCCATTTTCAGTGGTTAACGATAACGTTAGCTGGAGGTGAACATAAATTCTGGTGTATATCTGTTGTCTCTATGTAAATTTCATAAGGCAGATTTCACTCTTAAAAGTATCCTTAGATTAATAGCAACTGTGTATAGAGGCTTACTCTGTGTTGGCATGACATTAAGCTCGTTTTATACATTATTTATTCCCTTGGGAAATTTTATGGTGTTATCCCCATTTTAGGGATGAGGAAACTGAGCCTCAGAGGTGAAATAACCTATCCATGGACACGCAGCTGATGGCAGAGCTTAAATGTTTGACTCCAAAGTACAGTTTCTTAATTACTATCTTCTGGTAGATTTTATGCCCAAAGATGCCTGTAATAATATTTCCTGTCTTATCCCAATTGCTCTTTACAAGTTGACTTTATCACAGCCCCACTGGGAGGCAGGGTCTTTCTTCCCCTGTCCTTGAACCCAGGCCAACTCTGTCACCTGGCTTAAAAAATAGAATGTGGAAGAAGTGATCCTGTTTTCCTTCCTCAAGTTTGAGCCTTACGAGATTCACAACTTCCACCATCACCTTGTGGAATGTATCCTCTTGGAGGCCAGCACCTGCCCAGCAGCAGAGAGAGGCTGTGTTCAGTGAAGCACATCCCAGCTTCAGATGAGAGCTCCCAGGCTGGATGTGGAGGTGCCTGTCTGAGTGCTGCTTAAATACCTGATCCATAGAATTGGGAGCAAACAAAATCGTTGTTACTTTAAGCCACTGAGTTTCAGGATGATTTTATGCATGTATACTAAAAATACATTCTAAATGTCCTTGCAGTGTTCTTCTGAGCTTCGGAAGAAGCATATACCAAGCATCTTACTGGGTGTGGCACATGACAGGTGATCAATAGTGACTATTGTTATCAGTACAGATGGAAGTGGGGAACAGCATGAGCACAGTGAGGTGTTTATGAAGCAGCAGCCGTTTCTTGCAGAGTAAACTTCCTGAAGGGTCGGGAGAAGACAGAACTGGGAAGGTGGTGAAGGAATGGAGTACCGTGTGAAAATTTTACATGAAATTTGCAGTCACTGTAGCCCTTCTTCTTTAGAAAGTGCTGCCTTGGCTGAAATTTCATACTTCTGGCATGCTATTAAAGAAACTGGGCATAGTAGAAAGAGTTTTGCATAAAACAAAACCAACAAAGATAGGGCCTAAAACCCATTTTCACCCTATCTTGCTGTATGACTGTATGACTTAGAATTTATCTTCTCAGGCCTCAGTCAGTTTCTTTCACCAGTTTGGTAGTTGGAGAGTGTTTCTGAAAAGGGCCTTCTGGATGTTAAAAAAAAAAAAAAAAGAAAACATAGTTCTAATTTTTAAAGTACCTAAGAGCAAATCTCTCTTGCCAGGATAGCGCCTTTGATCTCTGCTCTGGACTGGCTGCCAACGTCTCTGCCTCTGCTGTTCTATTTGTAAGCTAGTGTTTTAACCCAGCTTAAGACAAAACACAGTCATCATACTGGATTTGCAAGTAGTCATTAACAGAAAGCTGTCCTTGCTACAAGCTTGTAAAATTGCTATAAAGGAACCAGAGCAGAGACTCTGAAAGCAAATTAGCATTTCAGAGAAGCAGTTGGAGTTAGTCAGCTTTCTCATTTCTTTTGTCATCAACAAATTGTTGTGTGCTTCCTTTACGTGCCAAGAAGGTGCAGTTAAAATAGAGTTCATCACATGGGACTTGGATTCAGACACGTCCCACATTTTTTCTCCAACAATGGTGGTAGCCACAAGGATAGCAGCAATAATAGTGATGATAATAAAAGCCAATTCAGAGGAGAGCTATTAACTACCTATAATATAGCATGCACGTTTTCTAGGACATGGGCTCAAGGTGTGACTAGGACATGGTCCTGTACTTGTGTTACTCATAGACTGCAGGAAAATAAATTACAACGAAGTGAGGGTAAGCGCAGAGGTACAAATAGTGCCAGGTTACTTAATTCTACCAAAGGAATAGGAAACATTCCCAGACCTCTCTAACTAGATCCAGTGCTCCATTATACTCTTTTAAAAATACCCATATTTTTTGTTCATAGCATTTACCACAATTGGAAATTGCATTTGAGAGTGATGCATTTGAGCCCTCCCCCTCTCCTACACTAAGAAAGGTAAGCTCTGAAGAACAGGGAGTATGACTTTTTATTCACCATTGAATCCCCAGTATGTTGGCCACTGCCTCCTACATAGTAGGCCCTCGGGGGCAGTTTGTGGAATGAAATAGAGGAGTAAATGTTCTGATAAGACTCCCCAGAGAATGAGATACTCAAATTAAATTTCGAGGTATGAATAGAAGCCTGCATCCAAAACAGCAGAAACAAAAGTAGGTCTAAAAATAATGACAGTTTAAAAGGAAAGTGGGACCTCATTAGCCCTTTGTTATGGATTGGCAGGAATCCCTACTAAGACTCATGAACATGTGGATCTTTAAGGAGGTAGCTTTTGTGGTAGAGGGAGCCTGGCATAGAAGTATCAAGAATCAGTGGGTTCTAAGTTTGCTTCCTGCAACCATTAGTTGTGTGACCTTGAGTGCATTGCTTGACCTCTCTGTGCTACAGTTAGCACACCTGCAAATTGAGGAGAATACTCTTTGTCTTCTTAGCAACAGACAAAGTAACGCAGGTAGATTATTTGACAGCTGCAGATGACACTTTCCAGAATCATGACTCCAATTTTATGATTCCTCTCTTACACAAGATATGAGACAATGGCCTAGGCACTGAAATAAATCTCTGCCTCAGTACCCCACTGTAAATAAAGAAATCACAATTATGTTGCAAGCAGAGACAGCCTGATGTCTGGATCTATCATTCTGAAAGTTTATAATTTCAGTAGCCAATTACTAGCTAAGATAGTTTGGGCATTGGACTCTGCTAGCTGTGGTTTTGAACCCCAAGTCCTCTAGGCCCTAATTGTGTAGGATAGATCTATGTATTACTTAGTCAATGGGAGACTTTGTTTTCTTATTTAAAAAATGGGAGACAATGCCCAGTTCCCATAGTTCCTGTTAATTTATTTTATTTTTTTTTATGTTAAAAATATCAACAGACTATCAGTACTATTCCAGGGGATGATTGGATTATAAATTAACATAAAACATTTAGCCCAAAGCTTGACACCCAACTAATGGAAGCCTATTATGATCGTGGTGCTGTTATTGCTATTGAAGAAGTAGGCAGCAAAGTATCATGGGAGTTAGAAAGAGGGAGAGGACTTTGAAGAAATAGGTACCCTTTGCACAGGTTGGTGGATGAGAATTCTGAGAAGATGGAACTGTCTGGCTTGAGACCAGGTGGAGAAATCCATGGGGCATGTTTGGGATGAGTAGGACGTTTGTTATGGCAGGAATAAAAGATGTGGCCAATGTGGTGGCTCAAGCCTGTAATCCCAGCACTTTGGGAGGCCGAGACGGGTGGATCACGAGGTCAGGAGATCGAGACCATCCTGGCTAACACTGTGAAACCCCGTCTCTACTAAAAAATACAAAACAAAATGAGCCGGGCGAGGTGGCGGGCGCCTGTAGTCCCAGCTACTCGGGAGGCTGAGGCAGGAGAATGGCGTGAACCCGGGAGGCGGAGCTTGCAGTGAGCCGAGATCGCACCACCGTGCTCCAGCCTGGGCGACAGAGCGAGACTCCATCTCAAAAAAAAAAAAAGGAATAAAAGATGTGTCAATGAAGTAGAGGCAATATAAATTAAAATATGGAAAATGATCAGGGAATGATGTTACATCGATTTCAACAACAATGTACAATTTATTGTACATTCTAGGGCTCGATTGGCATAGCTACGTTATGTAATGTGTTTAGATCTACTCTTAGTAAGTGCTGCTACGTGGTTTTCTAAACAATGTAGTGGCCTAACCTTAATGTAATAGCATTTATAGGACACGTTTACTCACTCACTCACCCATTACAAGTATTTATTATGCTGGTAAGTTGTTGCAGTGTTAAGTTTTCAAATTTAATTCTCACTTTCACTTGGAGAAAGTGGATGTCATAATTCTCGTCTCATAGGTCAAGGTTCAGAAAACTTATATTTTTGAATGATAGTTTTTGTTTTGGGATAAAAAATAGGAAATTTTGGAGAAATCAATTTAAAAGCCATGTCTCAAAATTCAGTGCCGTGTAAGAAACTTTTAAGTATTTTATTAAAATATACATTTGTAGAATGCATATTTATATTTGTAGAATGCATATATATGTGTGTGTGTGTGTATATATATATATAGAGAGATAGATATATAATCTTGATGAATTTCTCCCGACTCAAAGATTCAGTTTAACTAGCACCCACATCAAGAAACAGATATCACCTACACCCCCCAAACTCCCTTTTGTTCCTGTCTACACATAATCACTCCCTCTTCCCCACTACCAAAGGTATTTACAATCCTGACTTATAATACCATAGGTTAGTTTTGACCAGTTTTGAACAGGTTTATACAAACAGGATCAGACAATGTATATTTTTTGTGTTTGGCTTCTTTTGCTCAAACATTATTATGCAATTAATCCAAATTGCCATATAGAATAGTATTTTATTCTATTATATCATAATTCTTGTCTCATAAGTCAAAGTTCAGAAAACTTCATTTGTATCTTGGGAAGGTAGTTTGCATTTCAGGATGAAAAATAGGAATTTTTGGAGAAATCAAGTTAAAAGCCATATCTCAAAATTCAGTGCCATGTAAGACATTTTTAAATATTTTAAAAGGTAGATATCATAATTCTTGTCTCATAGGTCAAGGTATCTGTGTTTAGGTCTACTCTTAATAGATTCTTAATAGAATAATAGTATCTTAATCCTGTCTTAATAGAATAGTATTTTATTCTCTTTGCCATGAAGTGTTTTAAAGTTTGACTATACCACAATTCAATTACCCCTTCTAATGAGATTTGTATGAATTATAGCATTAGATTATACAAATGATAATACCATTCTCATACATATCTTTTAATGTATATATAAAATACACATTATATATGTGTACATATATTATACACACACATATATAATTGAATATATTACTAAGAATGACACAGTTGTGTAATAGGTACGTGTGTGCTTAGTTTTAGTAAATACTGCTAAATAGTTTTCCAGAGTAGCCATACCAATTTGCACTTACTCCAGCAATATACGAAAATTTCAGTCACTTCACATCCACATCCACACTTGGTAATCTCTGCTTTTTTATTTTAGCCATTCTGGTCAGTGTGAAGTGCCATATTGTGATGTTAATTTGCACTTACCAGATTACAAATGAAGTTTGATGTAGTCTTCCTTGGTACAATATTTTGATGTACAACTTGAGGCTTAGATTTTTTTCTGGCTGTGCTTAGCACTATACACACACACACACATATATAAACATATTTTTATATACATATACACACACACATATATATATATATATATATATATATATATATAGGCCCGGCTGGCCTTGAACTCCTGACTTCAGGTAATCTGCCCACCTCAGCCTCCCAAAATGCTGAGATTACAGGCATGAGCCACCACGATCAACCCCATAGTACATTTATATTCTCCAGTTCCTGTGAACTTTTTCTAGTGTAAACCGAGCCTCATTCTTTTATGTGACTTCAGCACCTAGGACAGTACCTGACCAACAATTGTTTGACCAAAGTTCAGGAGAAAGCACAGTATCTACACTGAGTAAGAGTTGAAGCCAGGATGAAAAGCGAAGCCTGTGTTCATTCTACTGTGAAGAGGGTAAATGAGGCTTAGCATGCTCTTTCTTCTCCATTGCACTAGAATCATTCCAAATGGAATGTTCATTTAAGCCAATGAGTGGAGCTGCTCTGAACAATAGGATTCCGGTATGGCCGCTATAGAGACCACACCTTCAAGAGCCAGAGGCACTTTCTCTCTGGACAGTTTTATGAATACATAAGGAGGTTCTGTCCCCACTCCCTTCGCAACTGCATCTTATTGGTGAGAAGCCTTACTCAGAATGATATTTACCTTTTCACCAACTACACATGATGTTTCCAAGCAAATGCTTGTGGCCTGAAAGGTATGCTCTTTGAGATCTGGTCCTGCTTCTTATTTGCTCTGTTTGAACTGGTCCTCCTTCTCATTTGCTCTGTTTGAACTTTGGTCAGATTGCTAGTGCCCTGAGTCTTTTCCGTCTGTGATACTGAGCAATATTACCCACATCAAAGGCCACTGTAAGGATCAAATGTATCCATGTATATACAATACTGAGGAGAGTTCATGGCAACAAGTGAACACCTACTCAATGCCAGTTTTTCTTTTTATTAGTTTTAAAATATGTAATGCTTGTATACATTATGGTAGCTCTTATTATGAATAGTGAAATTAAGTCAAAGATAAGGATGACCATGTGGTTGGCCCAGCATAGCTTTGGGATGAATTTGTGACAGACATATTTTGAAGTGAGAGACAATCAATGGAGTTGACTGGCTCATTGAGCCTTACAAAGGTTAAATGGTAGGAATGCATGGTAGCAATGAACTTTGAATAGCAACCTAAAGAATGAATAATACTCATAAAATTCAGTGTGATGGATGGTTCAAAAAATGTCATTGTTTGTAATTTTAGAAAGCAAAGACAAAATGGAATCCTGAAAGCTTTCCCTACTTTTCATAATAATATTCCACCCATCAGTTTATTTATTGAGACAATGACTAAGTATCCAATAAGTAGAGGCACTAAAATCTAGTGGAATGGATAAGAGTTTTGGGATAAGGCATATCTGAATTTGAATTCTAGTGTCATTGTTTCCTAATTGTGGATCCTTGAACAAACCACATAACCTGACAGAGACATAATTTTCTAGTGTTAAAACAGGGAGAGCACTGGGAAGTTGTAAATATTCATTGAGATAATGCATAGAAATTGCTTAGTCTGACATTTGGCACAAAGAAACTACTTCAAGGGTAAATTTTAAAGTAGATACCTATTTGTGCAGATCTTTGTGCTAGAATCTAAGAAGGTATTGAAGATATACACATCTAGATGTCTTCCTCCCTAAGTAGAAAGCGAAGCCTTTTTTTTCTTCTTTTATTTTAGGTTCAGAGGGTACAAGTACAGATTTGTTACACAGATAAGTTGCCCGTTGTCTGGGTTTGGCTTACAAATTATTTCATCACTCAGATAGTGAACATAGTACTCAAGAGGTAGATTTTCAGTCCTCACCCTCCTCCCACTCTCTACCCTCATGTAAGCCCTTGTGTCTGTTGTTTCCCTATTGGTATACGTGTGTGCTCAGTGTTTAACTCCTACTTGTAAGTAAGAACATGTAGTCTGTGGTTTTCTGTTCCTGTGTTAATTTGCTTAGGATAATGGCCTCCAGTTGCATCCGTGTTGGCTGCAAAGAACATGATTTTGTTCTCTTTTATGACTGCATCGTATTCGATGGTATATATTTACCACATTTTCTTTATCCAGTCCACTGTTAATGGATATGTATGTAAATTGCACGTCTTTTTGCTGTTATGAAAAGTGCTGCAGTGAACATGTGAGTGTATGTATCTTTATGGTAGAACAATTTATATTCAATTGGGTACATACCCAATAATAGGATTGCTGGGTTGAATGGTAGCTTTTTGTTTTTGTTTTTGTTTTGTTTTCAGAAATCTGTAACCCAAACTGCTTTCTACAGTGACTGAATTAACTTATATTACCATCAGGAGTGTATAAACTTTCCTTTTTCTGTTATTTTTTTGACTTTTTAATTGTAGCAATTCTGACTGGTATGAGATGATATTGTAGTTTTGATTTGAATTTCTCTAGTGATTAGTGATGTTGAGCATTTTTTTCATATGCTAGTTGAAATGTATGTATGTATGTCTTATTTTGAGAAGTGTCTGTTCATGTCCTTTGGCTTTTTAAAAATGGGGTTTTGTTTTTGCTTGTTGGTTAAAGTTTCTTTTCTTTTTTTTTTTTTTTTTTTTTGAGATGGAGTCTGGCTCTGTCGCCCAGGCTGGAGTGCAGTGGCCAGATTTCAGCTCACTGCAAGCCCCGCCTCCCGGGTTTACGCCATTCTCCTGCCTCAGCCTCCCGAGTAGCTGGGACTACAGGCGCCCGCCACCTCGCCTGGCTAGTTTTTTCTGTATTTTTTAGTAGAGACAGGGTTTCACCATGTTAGCCAGGGTGGTCTTGATCTCCTGACCTGGTGATCCGCTCGTCTCGGCCTCCCAAAGTGCTGGGATTGCAGGCTTGAGCCACCGTGCCTGGCCGGTTAAAGTTTCTTATAGATTCTAGATATTAGACACTTCTTAGAAAGTAGTTTGCAAATATTCTCTCCAATTCTGTAGGTTTTCTGTTTAATCTATTAATAATTTCCTTTGCTGTGCAGAAGCTTTTTAGTTTAGTTAGGTCCCACTTGCCTATCTTAGTTTTTGTTATAATTGCTTTTGGAGTCTTTGTCAAAAAATCTTTGTGAAGGCCTATGTCCAGAATGGTATTTCCTGGGTTTTCTTCTAGGGCTTTTATGATTTCAGGTTTTATGTTTAAGTCTTTAATCCACTTTGTGTTGATTTTTTTGTGCATGGTGAAAGGGGGAGTCCAGGTTTAATCTTCTGCTTTTGGCTAGCCAGTTATCCCAGCACAATTTATTAAATAGGGAGTCCTTTTCCATTGCTTGTTATTGTTGACTTTGTCAAGCATCCAATGGTTGTAGTTATGGGGCTTTATTTCTGAGTTCTCTAACCTGTTCCATTGGTCTATGTGTCTGTTTTTGTACACATACCATGCTGTTTTGGTTTCTGTAGCCTTGTAGTATCATTTGCAATTGGGTAATGTAATGCCTCTAGCTTTTTTCTTTTTGTTTAGTATTGTTTTGGCTATTTAGGCTCTTTCAGTTTCATATGAATATTGGAATAATTTTTCTAATTCTATGAAAATGATATTGGTAGTTTGGTAAAAAATAGCATTGAATCTATAAATTACTTTGGACACTATGGACATTTTAACAATGTTTATTCTTCCTATCCAGAACATGGAATATTTTTCTATTTGTTTGTGCCATTTCTGACTTTTTCCAGCAGTGTTTTGTAATTCTTGTTATAGAGTTCTTTGATATCTCTGGTTAGCTGTATTCCTAGGTATTTTATTATATTTGTGGCTATTGTGAATGAGATTGCATTTTTGTTTGGTTCTCAGCTTGGACATTAATGATGTATAGAGATGCTGATTTTGTGCATTGACTTTGGTATCTTGAAACCATACTGAAATTATTTATCAGTTCTAAGAGCTTCTATACAGTGACTATGGGCTTTTCTAGGTACAAAACCATATCATCTGTGAAAACAGATAGTTTGACTTACCTTTTCCCTATTTGGATGTCTTTTCTTTCTTTCTCTTGCCTTATTGCTCTGGCTAGTACTTTGAGTACTATGTTGAACAGTTGCAGTGAGATTGGGCAGCCTTGTGTGGTTCCAGTGCTCAAGGGGAATGCTACCAGCTTTTGCCCATTCAGGATTAGGTTGACTTGTAGGTTTGTCATAGACATCTCTTGTTATTTTGAGATATGCTCCTTTAATTCCTAGTTTGTTTAGGGCTTTTAATATAAAGGGATGTTGAATTTCATTGAAAGCCTTTTTTTGTGCCTATTGAGATGATCATGTGTTTTTTTTGTTTTTAGTTCTGTTTATGTGATGAATCTCACTTATTGGTTTGTGTATTTTGAAACAACTTTGCATCCTAGGAAAAAAAGCCTACTGATCTTGATTGGTTAGCTTTTTGATGTGCCAGTGGATTTGATTTGGCAGGATTTTTACATCTATGTTCATCAAGGATAGTGGACTGTTTTCTTTTTTTATTGCGTCTCTGCCCAGTTTTGGTATTATTAATAGAATGATGCTGGCCTCATAGAATGAGTTAGAGAGGAGCCCTACTCCTTGATGTTTTGAAACAATTTCAGTAGTTTTGGTATCACCTATTCTGTCTATATCTGGTAGATTTTGGCTGTGAATCTCTCTGATCTAGGGCTTTTTATGATTGGAGTTTTTTTTATTATTGATTCAATTTTGGAATGCATTATTAGTCTCTTGAGGTATTCAATTTCTCCCTGATTCACTTTTGGGAAATTTTATGTTTCCAGGAATTTTATCAATTTCTTGTAGGTTTTCTAGTTTGCATGCATAGAGATGTTTGTAATAGTCTCTGAGTGTTGTGTTTTTTTTTTTTTTTTTCTGTATTCCTGTTGGGTCAGTGGTAGTGTCACGTTTGGCATTTCTAATTAAGATTATGTGTATTTTCTCCCTTTTTTCTTTATTAGTCCACTTAGAAGTCTATCAATATTACTTACTTTTTCAAAGAATCAGCTTTTGGTTGTTGATCTTTTGTATATATTTTTGTATCTTGATATCATTCACTGCATCTTTGGAGTTCATTTGCTCTTATTTTTCTGGTTCCTCTAGGTGTGATGTTAGGTTGTTAATTTGAGATCTTTCTATAATTTGTTGATGTAGGTGTTTAGCACTATTGATTTTCTAACACTGCTTTAGCTATATCTCAGAGATTCTAGTATGTTGTATCTTTGCTCTCATTAGTTTCAAAACATTGAAATTGAACAATTGAAAATATTGATTTCTGTCTTAATTTGATTCTTTACACAAAAGTTACTCAAGAGCAAATTGTTTGATTTCCATGTAATTGCATGGTTTTGAGATATCTTTATTTTAATAAAATAATATTTTAAAATATTATTATTTTTACCCCGTCTCTACTAAAAAATACAAAAAACTAGCCACCGGGCGAGGTGGCGGGTGCCTGTAGTCCCAG